AAGCAAATTATTGGACATGGACAGTCCATGGACAGTCCATAAACAATGTCCAATGTCCATGTCCATAATTTGGACATAGACATGTCCATATTTTTTATATGTCCATGTCCATGTCCATTGACAACACTGGTAATAAGTATATATTAATAAAAACCAGATGCGTGATTTTATCTTAATATAAAAAAAAAAAAAAATCACTTATAAAACTATCTTCAATGTTTTAACAAAAAAAATTTCTTGTTGAATTTTAAATATATATAACATTTGTTAAAATCACAGGCTTTACTTTAATCTTAAAGTAAATAAAATAAAATCTTTTTTAATTTATTATTATTGGTTAATTATATAATGATGATGATTATTGCCAATTATTTTAAGTAAAAATCTTAAAAATAAATATTATTATAAAAATTAGAAAAAAATAAAAATTATATTATTGTAATATTTAATTTTATTTTATAAAAAAAAATTTAAATTGTTTATAAAATAAAAATAAGAGTATGGCAACTTAATGAAGTAGTTAAGTTGTTACCCCCCAAGTGGTATGTCTAGGGTTCAAATCTTACTGACGACGAAAAAATTCGAATTCTACTTGTATTACAGCTATGATCTTCCTGGTTAGGAACGTGACAAAAATCAGATGATTTTTTAGGGGAGGAGGGGGGTAAAAATTTTAAAATTATATATAAAGACCTAATCAAAATATATAATAAGAGGGGAGAAGAAGGGATAAGCTTCTGATAAAAAAAATCAGGTAATAAATGATACTGCCCTTAGGGCTATGCTGCATAGTGTCGATCAAAGTTGGGTCTCAGTTCTATAATCCAGTATCCATCAACCTAAGAAGTGGAAGAACCTATATAGTGTTTATATAACGCATAAGTTATATGAAAGAATGCAAGCTGGTTAAGTATAGTACAAACCTAAGATAAGTCCTGTGGCCACATAAATCTTGAGAACTTAGGCAAGATGGATGCCCGTTTGGCAAGACCTAAGTAGAGAGGTAGTACATCCTTAAGTGTATGGGTGAACTCTATAAAAGTAGGGTAATTTAGAAGGGGTATAACCTGCTGTTAAGATATAGAGTTTATCTAATGAAGAATTCTCCTGTGGTTCCTTAATTGAAATCTGAAGAAAACTAGGTCACTTGTTAAAAAGTGAGTGTAATAGAGAGCACTAGTTGGAAGATCACCTTTCCTATTCCTATAATTAGTTGTACCTTAAACTAGTTCTTTAATAGAAAATTAGAGGTGATTTGCTACACAAAAGTAGTTATACAAGATATAAATAGATAGTTAGATTAATATATCATTGTGATAGAAAAATTGTAACTAATTTTATCATGTATATGGCAAAATCATAAATAAAAATAAAATAAAAATAAAAAATAAAATAAAAATATATTAATTTAAAAAAGGATAAATGTAATTATCACAAGGTGCTATACAAATATTTATTGCACTTTAAATAAAATTTATTAATTAAAAATTAAATTAATAACATGGCTATTTAATAGGTTAAAATTTTCTAAAATAAGCTAAAATTAGGATTGTTAATAGGTCAGGTTGGGGTTAGATTAGCACAATATTTAAGCATTTTATTTTAGATTGTTTTATAGCTATCCCAAAGATACATGTCACCTAAACTACCAAAATCCTAAATTCAAAGCATAAAAATGCTCTAAATCCTAATCCAAAATTCTGAATTCAAATATAAAAATATCCTAAATTCTGATTCAGAATCCTAAACCCAAATATATTAAATCTGTCCCAAATCTTAATAGTTTTTTGCAAGCAAGTATAGCTTGGGTTGCTCTAAGTCATCCTGAATTTAAAGACAGTTTTGAACTAGCTACAATGTGTATTAGGTTTTATATCAGATGCACCAGAATATGTACTATATTAGCAACTCTAGTTGATATTAATAAATTTTGCCTAGATTACTCAAAATTTTGCCAATTGAATCTACTTAATTGTTGTCTGTTAATAGTTGGAGAATGGACTAGAAAATCACCATTTGAAGGTAAATATCAAATAGTAGTTTTTCCAGTCTATTCTTCAGTTTTGTTATACTTAATACTAATCTATTTCTAATAAATTTTAATTACAGTCAAACCCCTCTATAGTCACACCTTCAGGATACAAAAAACCGTGATTATAAAGAGGTGTGACTAATATAGAGGTATTTTCTATATAGTTATAAATAATTGGTAAAAATAAATTAGTAATTATACCAATTTTGTGACTATAGAGGAGGTGATTATAGAGGGGGTTGACTGTACTTCATGACTTCATACAAAGCAACGAATAGTATAATCCTGTGATATATTTCGTGACGAAGTGTAAGCAATGAAGCAAATTTGTATTAACAAAACCTAAATATAGCCTAATTCTATATACACTAATTCTAATCCAAATTTTAATGCTAATCATGCTAATCATATTGTTAATAAAATCATTACTAATCATGCTGTGCCGATAATTCTATGCTGATAATACTATAATAATAATACTGTGTTGACAAAAATTGGCCTGATAAAATATATAGATGCTATACAATTATTTATTGCACCCGAATTTTATTGGTCATTTAGACAGATCTTCAAAATATTAGTAAATATGCAATATAACTATCTCTCGCATATTTTCAAAACAAATAAAAATGCTAAAATCACAACATCTCTCTTCTAAGCTTAATGATCTAATAAACATGTCAGCCACTTTGGAATCTGAGTTGATCAAATTAATGAATTCAATAATAGCTTTTGAAAATTGCAAACAAATTGAGGATAGTTACATGAATTCAAAAGATGTTAAAATTGATGATTTCTCAGATAACAAAAGTGAAAGTACAAGTAGTATAGATATGGTCAATGATAATGTGATTAATAAACTTCATAAACCAGAAACACCTAATTCAAATGGTAAAAAGCACCTATCATACTCTAATTTCTAATGATACTGTTTAGTGCTAATAAAAATACTTTTGTTAGTTATTATAATCTCAAAAGAAATACCAAAAAACATAACCTTTAATTCATAAGATGAAGTTGAAGCATTCTTTTTAGATTACAAAACACGAAATAGTTTTGCAATCAATAAATATAGAAAAAAAAAATCCAAAACATGACTAGTACAAAATAGAACTTTTTGCTATAAATTCTATAGAATATATAAACCAAAAAAAAGTTTAGCAGCAGCCCAAAATGAAATGCAACATAATACAAAAACAAAGAAGCAAAACTGCTCTTGGTACTATAATCACTCATTGTGCTAAATAGATTTCAAATTCAAATTATGATCCTGATTAACAAACATAACCATGTTCTTGTATCAGAAACTCAGAAATTTGAACTTAAGTACAGATCTTTAAATGAAGAAGCTTTAAAAGAAATTGAAATAATGTCCAAATACAAAAGCTTATCAATTACATTACAAAAAAAGCTTTATAAAGTTTATTTTTTGGATTTGAATATTCATGATAATGATTTTGCTAATGCAATTAGTAAATTTAAAAGAACAAGTAACTTTAATAAGGAAAATGATGCATTAGCTCTACTTACTTCACTAATAAAAAAAAAATAGACAATCTATGATGAGCCATTAAATTTGAATTAGACAAAGAAAATCATTTGATCTGACTCTTCTGGATGTTATCAGAGCAAATTAACCTTTAGTTAAAGTATTATGATATGGTAATTAATGATAACATAGTGTAAACAAATCAATACTGAATGCTTTTCTCTCTTTTTATTATTGTTGATAACAATAATAAAACAAGACTTGTAGGCCAAGCATTAGTTAGTAATAAAACACTAGAAATATATATATGGATTTTAAAATGTGTTAATAAAGCTACACACAAGCCACCTATCATAATATTTATAGATGTAGATCCTGCTTTAAATGATGCCATCTTAGCTACTTTTCTAATCACACATGCAGCCCACTGCATATATCATATCAGACAAAATCTTTCCAAAAATTTAAAGTCAAAGCTAGGAAATAAATAAAAGAATTTATGAAAAAGTTTTATAAATGCAGAAATAGCTTATGTGTAATTTTGTTTGAAAAATAATAGAAAATCTATTTAAAGAATATCTGACATCCAACAATTATTTGCTTTGAGCTCTTTATCCAAACCATCAATCCTAGGTATGTGCCTATTTATATAGGGTTTTTATTGCTGACATTCAGAGTACTTCTCATGTCAAAGGATATAATTAGATTATTTAGAGAGAATTAGTAACGAACGGCACATTATATGAACTTGCTAATTGTTTAGATTAATGGTTGAAAGATGAAACTCAATAGAAACAATTCCGTAAATACAAACTACTAACTATATTACCAACAACACCCACAGCTGGACAAGTTCTCTTTTCTGAAGTAATCAAGATAATGGATGATTATCTAATTGAGCCGATCAGTAATATGATTAAAATAGAAATGAGCCAGTGCCTTTTTTTATATACAAAAAAGTTTGAACCTACAAATGAAGATTTATCTCAGGAACAAGTAAAATATTAGTAATTTTATACGTGTGTATTAAACAATAAGTTAACAATAATAAATATGAAAAAAGGAAACAATTAAACCAATCTAGAATGGATTTATAGATAATCAATACGACACAAGAAATATAATACTCCAAGCTATGTTTGATAAAATTGGAAGTGAGAAAATAAAGAAAATTTGGAAAGTTACCGAGCTGCGTAATAAAAAAACATTACATTAACTTCATAGCAGTTGTTAATTTAATTTTCTTTTTATATTCATGTTTAATGAGTATTAACAAAGGCATTATTTGTTGCCATTATTTTTGTATAATGATACATTCAAGCATATCAGCTTTTCACATATCGATAATACCTATTTGATAATATAAAGATTCTGTTATAGAACCGTTTATTATTTTATTAGATTAATATTCCGATATTGTATAATTATTATTGTTATTATTTTATTAT